TCCACTCCAATAATCTAAGAACCGAGAAAGATAGGGTACAAATTACATGCATAACATTTTGCATTGTGTGTAAACAGCGGTGGAGCCATGATTTTTTAAAAGGGTATTCAAAATATAAAGTAAACACACGAAGAAGCAAGGAGGATTCAACATCTACTATATATACATAATTGATAATGTTAGTCTTATCTATACAATATAATTTTCTGGTGAAGGGGGTTCCCCTTCCCTGACTGTGCTACTATGTGTAAGTTATGTATAAAATATCTATTAAAATATCAAGTTGATCCCTACTAACAGAAAAGAGATAACATGAGAGTTTGCCTGAAGTTTAGTCTCCTGTAGGCATATTACATCAAAATCTTCTCTATCAGCAAGCTGCTGTATGCAAAGATTCTTTAACTTCAATAGAGCCCTCAGACCATTGACATTCCAAGACAATAACTTAACATGTTTAGTATCCTTAGAAAGAGGAGGTGGCCTCATTGTTTTAGGATTGTATACAATCCACCCATCTTTAGGCTTCTTGTGAGCGAAAATAGTCCAAGGTTCATCTTGATTTACAGAAAGAACAACAGCCTCAGAAACTCCTATGTGTGCTGAAGCAGTCGCCGATGAAACTTTTCTCTTTGCTCGTACATTTTTCTTGCCTGTAAAGTTATTCATCATTTAATTTGCTGTCACAGCAAAGCCAAGATGTACAGTAAGTCAAGTGCGAAATAACCAGACAAAATGAAAATTACCAAATTACCTTTTATATCATTAGATTCAATGGACATTTCTTGGGTAATTTCAGCTTGTTTAACAATAATGTCAAAACTGGTATCCTTGGTCTGGCCTTTGGTGACTCGTTTTTTTCGTCTGCCGAGTGGTAGGAACCTCGGATGCAACGTCACTTTGGTCACAATTCTTACTTGGCACTTTTCTAGACTTCTTTTTTGAAGGGTTATCTGCTACTTCTAGACTCTCCTCAGATGATACTTTTTCCTCCTGTGCCACAGATCCATTGCCTGCATCTATAGCAGAAAGTTACCGGTTAAAAGTATCTTTCTGTTGCACTTTGGATTTTGGAGAAGTCCACAGAATAATACTATGATCACCTAGATAAATACTGTTCATCACTTTCTAATAAAGACATTATTTTATGGGCTTGGTTGCAATTAAAATGACAGAAAACAGTACCATCAAGTTTGCTGTTGAGGAAAGTCTTCAAAGAAGCAACAAGTTCTAGCTTAGTACCTCTGGAAGGAATCCCAAGACTCCTGAAAACGCAGAACTTGCTGTCATGTCACAGAATCAAATTGAAAGCTGCTGTAAATTACTAGGTGATACATTCTGCAGACTTCCGAACAGAGGTTCTAGACCAACTTTCGTGTTCCAGATGAATCACTTAGTGTTGTATGCTATACAGTGTTGTCAAAGGCAAGCTTAAGCCCCAAAGCGAGGCGCAAAACGTGTTAAGCTCTTCGCCTCGCTTAATGTGCGTTTTAGTGTCGTCATCAAGGTTCTAAGGTATATTTTTCCTTGCCAAGAAGCCTCTTCTGAAGAGGCAACACTAAACAATTGATATTTCACTTATTATTTTGAATCAGGTAACATAATTGATATTTCACTTATTCATTAAACAAATTCAATTTCTTTGTTCATATATTTGTCATTCAAACTTATAATTGTGTCTTGGACTAAATATATATATTGGTTTTTTTTCTCCCTTTGCAGTTTGCACTTTTTTCCATTAAAGCACATGCTTTGTTTGCGCTATGCGCCTAAAGCCCCCAACACACCTTAGAGCTTTTTCGTGCTTTTTGCTTTTGATTACACTGATACTATAATGCTTCCAGCCACTTGCTTAGTCCAAACCAGGTTCAGGACTCTTTTAGCTCTACTAAGGCATCATAATTCTTCACGGAGTTCAATAATTTTACGTACTCACTGCTTAAGGAAGAATATTTTAGACCAAGCTGGCAAGTACCTATGTAAAGCTAGAGTATATAATGCACAAAGGTAGTACATGTTGTGGCTGTCAGGTAATCATTTTCACACATATAATTAACCTTATATCTAACATTGAAAATTATTGCAAGAAGCAATATAGAAAAAATCTTTTCATATACACTTCCCTGTAAAAAAGGTATGCATCCAATTATCTTTGCTTGAAACAAAGAAGTCCAGCCAATATTCTTTTTTCCTCATTTTCTAAGAGACTAATCCAGGCATTTAATGAACCACACAAAATTATTCAATCAAACCTCTAAATCAAGTAAAAATATGGATTCCTTTCTACAGAAACCAAGCAACTAATTGCATTACAACAAACATGCAATGCAAAACCCCATCTTTGTTTCCTCCATGCTCTACAATCTTTTTATTTTTTTGGGGCTGACCAATAAATTCTTGAAGGCAATAGCGCATGGCTTAGAACTCAATGATAGAAAACAAATATGAATCACTTATAACATAATAGCACATGATGTCAAACACTGAGCACTATAAGATATACTTGAGTTCCTCCAGCAACCAAGAAACTAATTGCACTACCACAAACATGCAATGCAAAACCCATTTTTGTTTCTTCCATTCTCTACACTTACTTTAATAACCGAGAAATTCCAGAGGGCCAATGTCGCACGGCTCAAAACTCATTGATAGCAAACGAATCAACAACATAGTGTACGCAGATAGAGAGGCTATCTCTGAAAGACCCTCAGCTGAACAAACAGTGAAAAAGAGGCAATAGCAACAAACAGACACAACAAGAAGATACTAAGAAGCCGAGGCTAAACAACAAGTGAAACAGACATGAATCATCTACAACATAATAGCATATGATGCAAAACAGTTAGCACTTTAAAATATACCTAAGTTTTACTCTGAGCTGAGGAACAGTCATTTTCTCTACTGTTTCCATATCCTCCACAAGAATCTCCCCACTCTTGCCACCATTTTCCTACATGTAACAAATAAAAACTCAAACAAACAAACAAAAACTCAATCTTTCTTACTGAACCATCCTCAAAATGCTGAAAAAGACATAAATTGGTCAAAAAGAAACAACCTTTGAAACACCCTTTTCAGCTGCAACACTCATTTGTTCATTTGGTTTTCCAGTAGCTGATGAGGTTGAAAAGGGTCTTTTCTTAGACCCCATTATTGTCAAATTCACATAAACCAAAACCTGAAACTTGGGTTTCCTTAAAATGACTCCAACACTGAGAAAAAGGTACCCTCTTGAGAAGAAAAAATCAAGAACAACAAAAAGAATACAAAAATAGAAACTGACATATATTACCTATTGGAAGTGATGAAATTGTAAAGACCAAACTTAAGAGATTGTATCATTGATTATAATAAGATGACTATATGAAGGAGAAAAAGAAAGTTCAATTCCTTTCTATGGGGGGTAGGGGTGGGGTGGAGTTTTGTGGGGGGGGGGGGGGAATGAACCGCCAAAGGAGGGCAAATGGTGAAGGAGTATTTTGGAGGCACAAAACAAATAGGATTTGTTATGTACTATGTTAATATATTAGGTTATCGTAATTTGAGTGAGATTTGCATGGCGAAAAAATATATATAATTTGTTATTTTTTGTATTAGTTATGTTCTTTATATTTTGTTTAGCAAAAATTTAAGCTTAGCTTGAGCTTGTCCAATTTGTTCAATTGAAATTTTATAATGCAACTGTTTTCTCTAATTCAATTGTTATTTTGTGTATTTTTAAATATATCTAGTTTGAGTTCTTACACCTAATTTGGTGTAGCAATTATTCTTCAACTGAATTTACAACATTTATTTCTTTTTTTTTCTTGCAAGGAAAAAAGATTTTATATGTTGGTAGTTTTTACAAAACATGTAATACAATTTGGAATTTTGGTATTCTAAAAAGCCTTTGTGATGAAATGGTAAGTATTTTTTCACTTTTAATTAGAACTTTCAAGTTCGAGCTCTAAAAATGAAGTTGTCTTTGATAAAAAGTGTCTACTCCCAAAGTGAACAATAAAAATATTTATTTACGAAAGTATCCTTCACAATTATGGTGGAAAAGATGTAAAAGTACTTTTTGAGGGATAATTGGGTCTTTAACCATATTAATGCATGTATTAAACCCTTTGCATTACTAATACCTAGAAATACATGGTATTAGTAATACACTCCTCAATACACAATTGAGTGTATAACTAAGCACTAGTTATACATAGCATGAAAAAATGCATCAAACAATGAATTACTAATACATATAATTAATGCATGCATTATTTTTAATATACACTCTACCAAACGACCCCTTAGTGATACGAATGTGTGAACACATGTTGCCAAAAAAACAATCCTTGAAAAATACATTACTTTTAAAGAATCTGATACACACCTGTAAACATTTTATAAGAACGCAAGCAAATTAGATGAAATGAAGTCAATAGAAATAGACTCAATTGACATGGATACTCAATGGAACACCCAAAATACAGACACTGATAGAGAGGGACACTAGATGGGGAGAGAGAACCAGAAAATAATTAGGAGAGGAGAATTCAGAAATTACACATGACTCAAAGAACAAAGAAAATTATTTCTAGCTAATGTTGGTCTCATCTACAGATGAGGATAGTGGTGGAATGGAAAGTACTCCTTCTAATGAGAGGTCTCTAGTTTGAGCCCGGGATATGGGGTCGCCTTAATTAGGAAATGCCTTGACCCAATGTAAGACTTTACAGCGCGAATCCCAGTTTAGTTGGACTAAAATACTGTCCGGGCACTGGGTGGACAACCAAAAAATTGTTGGTCTCATCACCTTACTCCTAATTCACTTGTTGTGCCTCACATTTTCAGCTTTGAAGGAATAATGACCTGGCTGCGGACTGGAGGCCCCCAACTGACGTGGTCATAACATTACCTCCTTCACCGATAAGAACCTTGTCCGCAAGGTTCACAGATTTTTCCTGTTGACCATCATCCTGTAACTGCAGTAGGGTAATTTGTTGGTCCAATATTCCTATGCACTTGTTGAGCAAAGAAATGTGGAGAACTGGGTGTATTTCGGCACCAATTCACTTCAGACCTTTAAACAGCCCAAAGTACTTCCTTTCCAACTTATGTTGTTGCTGGAAATACAGAAAATGTTGCCTATAAGTTGGAGCTTCACATAAGCCCTCAACGCCATCACGATTAGGGAAAGATTCCCGTCCCTACAATTGAAGAGAGAAACTCAAAATGGGGTTGTTCAAAAGATCAAAACTTCCAACCAGAAATCACATGTAAATGTAAGATATAATTGTATATTAATTGAAAGTTGGGAGCTTTGAAGAACCTGCAACGGAAAACAGCATCTTAATATCAGTTGAAGGAACCATCAAAACCGGAGATAGTAAACATCTATTTTGCTAGAAACAAAATAGAACATATAAAGCATCTTTGGAGAACCACAAATCAATGAGAAGATCGCAAGAATAGATAGAAGTACAGGCAGAATGCATTATTCAAAGGACGCAATCAAACATCACCTATGAACATAATTAATGGAAACAAAAAGATTATCTCAGAAACAGCAGATATCTAGCTAGTAAAAAGTTTGAAAAAAGAGGTTGGTATGATAAGTGTCCATCATGTTTAACTATTCATTTGAAAGACACAACTCAAACACCACTCCCCTTGTAAACCCCCAACTAAATACAAGACTTGCTATTTACATGAACTCCCAATGTAGAAACACAAGAAATTTACTTGAAACAGACTAATATCAACTCATGTAAACACGACAAATACAAAACAAAAGGAGAAAGCAAGAAAGGAATACATGAAGTTGCAGAAATTAACATAAAAAATTGAGATGTTGTATATCCCACCATTTGCAGATTTCGTCTTGCTTCGGGTCATGTTTCAGCAAGTAAACCACGTGGTGATCCTTTCCAACGTTGAAAACATTAAGGTCCCACACGATTAAATATCAGTTGTAGCTCTAGTTCCTCCTTCAGGAAGAAATGTAAGACCTTTTTCACGTTTTCACCTAAGAATCATGTCTTCATAAACTCCCTCCATCCCAATACATGCTATACACTTCCCTTTTTAATTTGTCCCCAAACAATTAACAAATCAACTTTAAACTTCCATTTTACCCTTAGTGAGATGACTTAAAGGTTAAAACCACACAAATAGATATGGCTTGTTTTAGACTACAAGTTTCAGAAGGCTTTACTGTTTTCTTAAACTTCGTGCCCAGTCAGACATCACATAAAATAGGACGGAGGAAGTAATTATTATGAAGCATGTTTTGTTTCCCCCCAACTGTAGGAGCCATATGATCAGTTGTAAATCCTACAATTTATAGGTGGAGCTGTGGAGGGGTGGAGCTTGAAGCTTGCCATATTTTGCAGATATTAGAGATCAACCTTGAAGTTGTAAGTAACCTGCAAAATCATGGAGATTCTTCACCAGTTGGATTGCCACCATCAGACCAGGTCAACAAAGAGTAATACCAAGGGCCATCTCTATTGCACTTGCACAAAATTTAATGTCCCCTACTTCACCTCAACCCAACTACAGCCTGGATTCTTTCTCAATCCAATTTCGTTCATTTTTACTCTAGTATGTACTGCATCGTTCCACCTACCAGATTGAGAATATAAACTTGATAATACCACATAATGAGCTGGATTTCCTCGCTCAATTTTGACAAGATGCTTCAAAGCAACTTCTGCTATCTCAATATTAGAATGCATTCTAGATGCATCCAACAAGGCCCCCCAAACTCCACCATCTGGTTCCATAGGCATTGTGTTGAGTAGATCCATAATTTCATTAAACAAGCCAGCACGTCCTAACATGTCTACCAGACAGGCATAGTGTTCCACATCTGGTTCGATGTGATATTTGTCACGCATGCAGTGGAATATTTTCCTTCCTTCTTCAACCAAGCCTGAATGTCTGCAGGCAGACAAGACACTAAGGAAGGATATAGAATCAACTTCGATGTCTCTCTCTTCCATTAGAGAGAAAACAGAAAGAGCACAATCACCTTCCCCATGCATAGAATATGCTGTAAGTAAAGCATTCCAAGAAACACTGTCAGTGTTCTTCATCTCCTCAAATATACGCTCAGATAGGTCAAGTTGACCACATTTGGCATACATATCGATAAGACTATTCCCTACAAGCTTATGGGACTGAAAGCCACACTTGATTATGTAGGCATGTATAGTCTTGCCCTCTCTCAAGTATGTCAAATGTGACACCGCAGGCAGGATGCTCACAAGTGTCACCACATTGGGCTGAAATGATTCAAATTTCATGGAATGGAATGCGGAAAGGGCTTCTTTTGCAAGTCCATTATGCATGTATCCTGCAATCATTGTGTTCCAGGACACCTCATCCTTAGAGAACTCAGTTTTGTTGAACATGAACTCAGCCAAAGATAAATTTCCACATTTGGCATACAAGTCAATTAGAGCATTTTTCACATGACAGTCTGACTCAAACCCGTGTCTGATAATTTGACAATGAAGGCATGTCCCCAAGCGTACATCACCAAGGGAGGCGCAAGCTGGAAGTACACCAACCATTGTCCCAGGGTCTGGGTATAATCCAGATAACCTTAATTGGCAAAACATTTCTAATGCATTATAGCAGTCACCAATTTGGGCATACCCGTTAATTAGAGCATTCCATGTCACTACCTCAGTTAGTGGCATCTTATTGAAAATATAAAGTGCAGAAGTAAACAGGTTGCACTTAGCATACATGGAAACCAAGGCAGTTCCCGTTGAAATATCAGAATCCATACTGGCTTTGATGGCATGACAGTGGACACTCTTTCCTAATTTCACTTCCCTTAGCTCAGCACAGGCTGGGATTACGCTCACCAGAGTAACATTGTTTGGCTGTGAATACTCATTCTGCATATCTCGAAACAGAGAGATCGCCTCTTGAGGATATCCTGATTGTGAGAAAGCAGCTATTGCTGCAGACCAAGCAACCAAATCTCTTTCCCCAATTCCCCAAAACAGATCTCTAGCCTTGTCTAGCACTCCACACTTTGCATACATTGTCATCAAAGAAGTAGCAATCATAACGTCAGAATCAATCATTTCTTGAATTGACCATTCATGAATTTTTATCCCTCTCTCTAAATCGCCCATTTCACCAGCACCAACCAATGCACTTACAGCTGCTACTTTGCTCATCTTCAAGCCCATCCTCTTCATGCAATCAAACAATTCCGAAACTTCATAAAAGTTCCCATTATATGCATAACCTGCCATCATTGTACCCCATGAAACATCATCTTTCCCCCTCAACTCATCAAAAACTCGACGAGCAACATTAGAATAATTACATTTGGCATACGTATCGATCAACGCATTATAAACCGAAACTGGAAACACTCTCCTATACACATAACCATGTATACACCTACACACCCTCATATCCATTAATTTACAAACTGCAGGAAGCAAATTCAATAACGTCACTGAACTAGGATTAATTTGACAAACAAATTGCATCTTCTTGAAAAGATCAACAGCCTTAACCGGCTCTTTACTCTGTGCAACCCCAGAAATCATTGCATTCCAAACTACAACATCCTTGTCAGGTATTTTATCAAACACCTTCCTTGCACTCTCCAAATCACCCATTTTACTATACATATCAATAATCCCAGTCCCAATAAAGACATCATTTTCAAGATTCCTATTCAGTATCTCTTCATGAATCTTGATACCCTTTTCAAAATCAGACATTATAGTACAGGCTTTCAGCACAAAAGTAAATGTATACTTATCCGGGTGAATACCCTTTTCTTCCAACATTGAACTGTACATTTTCAGAGCTTCTTGATGCTGATTTGTTCTGATATAAGCTCTGATCATTGAATTCCACAAAATTACAGGTGGGTTTGGTGTAGAATCGAAAAGGGTGCGAGAAAAATCGCATTTTTTGAAGGAAGAGTATAAGTTTATGAGATGGGTTGTGGTGGAAATGTTGAAACTAAAGCCTGAGGTGATTATACGAGCATGAATTTGGAGAAGAAAGGTAAGGTCTTTGCAGGAAGAGAGAAGCCGCTGGTGGCAGAGAAGTGAGCTCATTCGTAGTTGAGACGTTTAACTGTGACTGAACGGAACCTTTTCTATTTCAAGAATCTATTTTCGTCAAAAACAATATTTCTATACTCGGCAGATTTCATTGATGAGACTAACAAATTAATGGTTGCATTTGTTACAACTTGTTTGGATAGTTATTAATTATTATCTTGTTACTGGTATGATAAATATATTATTAGTTTAAATATAATATTTACTTTCAAAGTTACTATTTGAATTTTTATTATAAAAGTTTGTCTTATATAATGATCAATTTAAAGTGAAGGTACTTCTTTTTCTTATTATCACTAGATTTTGTTGCCCATGCTATGCACGGGCCCAATAACATAAATGGTATGTTTTGGGGCTAATAACGAAGTTTTTAAAGCGATTGTTTGCGTGGATAAAGGAATAAGTTTTTCTATCACAAACATGTACTTTCTTTGATGCTATTCAAGGCACAATAAGACTACCCACATACAACATTTTTGAACAATTTTATGTTGTCAATTATCATGATTTAATTTTAAGAATCAGTCAAATTTTTTTACATAATTTTTAACGATAGATTAATTTCAAGAATCAATCGAATTTTTTTAAATGTATTTTTTTTGAAATATTTTATGCTGTCAATTATCATGATTTATAGTATTTTTACGATAGATTAACTTCAAGAATCAATGGAATTTTTTGTATCTTTTTCAAAACATATTTTATGTTGTCAATTATCATGATTTATAGTATTTTTACGCAATTTTTAAATATAAAAAAATTTAAAAAATAAGACAAATAAATTAAAATGGACCCAATATATGTTATTTTTGTTGTCTCAATTTATGTGACACAGATGAAATTTGGAGAGTCATTGAATATTATATATTATACTTCGGCATAAACTCTCTTACGCACGGGCCCAATAGCTATTATTTTTTGTCCTAATGTATGTGACACAGATAAAATATAGTGAGTTATTTAAATTTAATATGATTTTTAAATATTTTAAGTTGTTAATAATGTAATTTATAATATTTTTACGTAATTTGTAAATACTTAATATATATTACTCCATTTGTCTCAATGTATGTAGCATAGATAAAATTTCAAGAGTTAATCAAATCTTGTTAATTGTTAAGATTTACAATACATTTTACGTAGTTTTCAGTAATTTGACATTAAATAATACATATTACTACTTTTGTCTCATTTTATGTGACATTGATAGATTAATTTTAAGAATCAGTCAATTACTTTATTTGTGCATTTTTAATAAATATTTTAAGTTGTCAATTATCACGATTTATTGTATTTTATACATAAATTTTAACGATAGATTAATTTCAAGAATCAATCGAAATTTTTTATATGTATATTTTTTGTAAATATTTTATGTTGTAAATTATCATGATTTATAGTATTTTTATGATAGATTAACTTCAAGAATCAGTGCAATTTTTTGTATCTTTTTCAAAACATATTTTATGTTGTCAATTATCATGATTTATAGTATTTTTACGCAATTTGTAAATATAAAATAAAAATTAAGACAAATAAATTAAAATGGACGCAATATATGTTATTTTTGTTGTCTCAATTTATGTGACACAAATGAAATTTGAAGAGTCATCCAAATTTGCACTTTTTTTTAAAAAAATTTTTAAAAGTTATTAATTATTGTGATTTATAATATTTTTATGTAACTTTCAAATAACTTCCTAATTTATGTGATATGGATAAAATTACAAAATTAACCCTTTTAAAATGTCTTCCAGATATTTTAAGTTGTTAATTATTATTATTTTTAATACTTTTTTGGTAATTTTAAAATGATATATATTATTTTTTCTGTCTCAATATATGTGACCCGGATAGAATTTTGAGAGTCAACCTATCTTATGGTAGAATTTTAAATATTAAATATTTTAAGTCATTTGTAAGTGATTTATTATATTATATTATTATATATTATATTATATATATATATATATTATATTTATTTTCTACTATATAATAAAATGGAGTTTATGTATATATTATATTATATTATATTATATATTATATAAACTCCCTTAGAAAATAAATATATATTATATATATTATATAGTAGAAAAAATAATTTATTATATTATATTATTATATTATGTATTATATAGGGAGTTTATGATGGAACATTCAAATGTCCCATCATAAACTCACTCTTATATATAAGTAGAATATATATATTATTATATATAATAAGTGAAAATATCTATTACTTAGCACATGATAAGTGTTGGATGATATGTACTTCATAGTGTTGTACATTCTTTTTTTATGGTTGTACCTTTAAAATTTATATTATTGGACAATTTAACACCATTAATTACATACTACTTTATTAGCTAAAAAGTTTGACCTTATTTGGGCCCATTTATTATTTATATGTTTTCAATTTTCAATATATGTTGTCTATCTAATTCTTTTTTCCAACCTTTTATTTTAAACTTCTTGAAATTTAATTACCTATTTATTACTCTCTCTATGCACTTTTAATTGTTATGATTTCCTTTTTAGAGTCAAACTATAAAAAATTTAACTAATATTTTATAATGTGTTTTTTCATCATATTCATAGGCAAAAAATTACAATTTATAGTACTTTTTGCATAGATTTTGCATTTTTTTTTAAATATCGAATTAATACAATCTGATTTAACTTTCAAAATTAGTCAAATGGACTTTCAAAAATAGCAACATGACAAATACAAGTGGACGGAGAGAGTATATTTTAGCTACAAAATATATTAGAGGTACAACTTTTTAAAAAATTTAAATTTTTATTGCGTTGACTCTTGAAATCTTATCATTGTCATATGAATTTAAACAAATTATATATTATTAAAAGTTACATAAAAGATGCTATAAATCACAATAATTAGCAATTAAAAATATTTTTAAATCATATAAGAATTTTGGTTGACTAATTGGAATATAATAAGTAACATGTACTATTTGAAAATAACGTCAAAATTTCTAGAATTCACAATAAATTAACAACTGAAAATATTTATGATTATTCACGTGAATTGAAACATAGGTAACCTATATTATTCAAAACTAACGCAAAAATATTATAAATCACAACAATTTAATAACTTCAAATATATTTTTAAGAAAACATATAAAAAATCGACTGATCTTCAAATTCCATTTATATCACATAAATTAAAATAAAAAAAATTAATATTTATTGGGCCTGTGCTGGCACGGGCACCAAATATCTATATATATGTGTCACAAATGGAAAAGTCTCAATCAAGGAAGCAACATATATCATTTACAAATGACTTAAAAAGCATTAAAAATTACAATAATTACCAATTTAAAATATTTAAAAGCTATATAATACAATACGTTGACTCTCAGAATTCTATCAGGCTCACATATATTGGGACATAAAAAATAACACATATCATTTTAAAATTACCAAAAAAATATTATAAATAATAATAATTAACAACTTAAAATATCTTAAAGACATTTTAAAAGGGTTAATTTTGTAATTTTATTCATATCACATAAATTAGGACAAAGTGACCAGTAATGTACGTTATTTGAAAGTTACATAAAAATATCATAAATCACAATAATTAATAACTTAAAACATTTTAAAAAAAATTTTGAAAATTTGGATGACTCTCCAAATTTCATTTGTGTCACATAAATTGAGACAACAAAAATAACATATATTGGGTCCATTTTAATTTATTTGTCTTATTTTTTATTTTTTTTTATATTTAAAAATTGCGTAAAAATACTATAAATCATGATAATTGACAATATAAAATATGTTTTGAAAAAAATACAAAAAATTCCACTGATTCTTGAAGTGAATCTATCGTAAAAATACTATAAATCATGATAATTGACAATATAAAATATTTCAAAAATGTTGTATGTGGGTAGTCTTATTATGCCTTAAATAACGTCAAAGAAAGTACATGTTTGTGATAAAAAAAAACTTATTCCTTTATCCATGCAAACAATCGCTTCAAAAACTCGGTTATTAGCCCCAAAACATACCATTTATATTATTGGCATAGCACGGGCCACATTATCTAGTATATATATAAAGGAAAACCTCACCCCAGCATTCACTTTGATTTTTTAAAATTCCACAAATAACCCTTCCCCTATCTTCCAGACTGTTGTACTACACAATAGACAAAGTTTTTTAACCTTTTGCTTACGGGTTGGAGAGAATATGAATCCACCAAATTCCTTTTAGAAGTTCAAGAGAGGTTCTTCCTATGTTATCATACTCAATTAACACTGGCTTATATTCATGTATAACATTAAGTGGAAGGTTCCATGAAAGGAAGTAAAATGAAAATGTGATCCAGAGCTTAACATGAAGAGCACATGCATCTTACTAAATAAGGACAAACTCTTATTTAATCCACACTTTTTTCTATTGGGGTTGTGCTACTTACTGGGAAATTTGAGTTGGCTATTACAAAACATACAATTACTAATGATGTGCTGACAATACAATCAGGACTTACATATAAATATGAACTAGACGACATGCGAAAGTGCAATGATGCCACACTACCAAGAGATTTACATATAAATAATAATGATGCTTTTACAACGGATTTTGTAGCCATTTCACAGGATAATTACAATTTAATATTACACAACTCTATAATTTAATTGGGGTACACACTGCCCCCCTAGTAATCTTATATTTATTGGTTACTTCTTATTATTTTTAGGGAAAAAGGTCAAAAATGCCTCTAAATTATGTGAAAGGAATAAAAATATCCTCCGTTTATAGTTTGGCTCAAAAATGTCATTATTGTCAATACTTTGGCTCAAAAATGCCCTTTCAGTCAATACTTTGATCCAGAAATGCCCCTATAGTTACAAAATGGGTCAAAAATGCCCTTTTCCGAATAAATATATTATTTTTTTCTTTTTAAATACATCTTCTTCCTATTTTAAATATTATTAAAGAACATTATTCTTGTTTTCTTTCTTCTAAAATCACTTTAACAAAAAAAATGTAGGAAATATTTTTT